GTAGTTGTTTTCTTTGTTTTTTCCTCCTTTTTTTTTTTTTTTTTTTTTTGGCGGACAGGAAAGAGTAGAGGGATATCAAGCCTTCGCTTCGTTCCACGGCGACTCGACCGCAAAAAGCGGTGAATCAAACCCAGACCGCAAACGGCGGACAGCCGTAGAAATGAGCCGCGGAAAACGCGTTTCTCATCAGTCGGGATCGTCATTAGCGATCAATCGGGATGAAGCTGCGTAATAAAACACGCCGTCATTAGCCTGCTATACCACTTTCTTTCCCCAGCTTCCTCGTCTCTCCTTTTCCATCAATCTCGTATACGTGTCTGTTCTCTATATATAGTCCTGTAATGTATAATGCAGCACTCTCAATTCTTAACTCACGCATTTCCGTCTTCTTCAACTCCGAAATAAATGCATAAATGCAGGATGAGAAAAAGCAAGTGTCGTTTCTATAGCGGGGCGGGTATAGGAAATGCGGCGATTTCCGATAAAGAGGTGCTGAATGTAAAACTTACAGAAGACGGTCCAAGTTTTAAGTTTTAGGAATAATAGGATTAGAAATGAGTGAGGGTTTTAAAAGTTTCAAGAGTTTGTCAAGGAAAAGTTTCTCGAGTCAGAATTCCCTGAATAACATGGGAGTGTTGAACCTGGGTTCGATTCATCCTTGCTGGAAATCGTTTTGCATGCTAGATACCTTGATTCTAGACATCCTTACATATTCATGAAATCGTTGGAAATCAGCTGCATTGACCTTAAACTTATTGATAGAATCCACTCGCTATCATTTTTTCTTTACCACCGTGAAAAATATTTTTTTTAGCAAATAGAAATATTTGGACTGCGGCGTTTTATTTAAAAAAAATGGTTGATTTTGTTACTGTTGAATCGCTGTCTTCAAACGAATTCAACGTCGGTGATCAGAATATGAAAGAATGGTCGCGGAATTTTCCGTGTACCATTCAAAAATAAAAATTAACACATACCAAAAAATGTTCCAATAGAGGAAGCTCACAAATTGACGATGTAAGACTATGGCTAAATGTATGAACCTGACGTCTAATATAAAATAAAATAACACGTTCAGTTGAAACTGTTCGTTCAAGAGAAAAAGAAGAAAAATATCAGACGGATAACAAATTAGATTACTAGATGAAAAGTTACTCCCAAAATTACTTAAGAAAGAAAGCAGTATTTTTTGCACGCCGTCCGAATTTGTCCAAGGGGAATAACTTACCTAAGTTTTGCTAATAACTTACATGGGCTGCCAAGAAACATTTAAACTCCGGAATATTACTTCTCCGATTGTGTGCTACTTCTGGCTCGTCTCTGGATTCTGCACTACTTGGAGCATTGCACATTGTGCCTTGTTCATTGCTGGGTGCGCTTCTGCTAAAAAAAAGGTGCCATTTCCTAGAGGTGCTGAATGTAAAACTTACAGAAGACGGTCCAAGTTTTAAGTTTTAGGAATAATAGGATTAGAAATGAGTGAGGGTTTTAAAAGTTTCAAGAGTTTGTCAAGGAAAAGTTTCTCGAGTCAGAATTCCCTGAATAACATGGGAGTGTTGAACCTGGGTTCGATTCATCCTTGGAAATCGTTTTGCATGCTGGGAACCTTGATTCTAGACACCCTCACATATTCATGAAATCGTTGGAAATCAGCTGCATTGACCTTAAACTTGATGGAATCCACTCGCTATCAATTTTTCTTCATCACCGTGAAAAATATACCTCCCGTTTTTTAGCAGATAGAAATATTTGGAATGCGGCGTTTTATTCATAAGAAAAAGGTTGATTTTGTTACTGTTGAATCTCTGTCTTCAAACGAGTTCAACGTCGGTGATGAGAATATGAAAGAAAGGTCGCGGAATTGTCCGTGTACCATTGAAAAAAAATCAGCACACACAAAAAAAAATTTCCAATAGAGGAAGCTCACAAATTGACGATGAAAGACTATGGCTAAATGTATGAACCTGACGTCTTATATAAAATAAAATAACATGTTCAGTTGAAACTGTTCGTTCAAGAGAAAGAAGAAAAAAAATCAGATGGGAAACAAATTAGATTATTCGATGAAAATTTACCCCCAAAATTAGTTCAGAAAGAAAGCAGTATTTTTTGCACACCGTCCGAATTCGTCCAAGGAGAATAACTTACCCAAGTTTTGCTAATACTGTAACTGGGCTGCCAAGAAACATTTAAACTCTGGAATATTACTTCTCCGATTGTGTGCTACTTCTGGCTCGTCTCTGGATTCTGCACTACTTGGAGCATTGCACATTGTGCCTTGTTCATTGCTGGGTGCGCTTCTGCTAAAAAAAAGGTGCCATTTCCTTTAATGCACCACAAACAAATGCATGATCACTATATATAGAGACGCAGCGACGACGATGTGAAACAGCGAAACAATTTGATTTCCAGTATTTTTCCCGACAGCTCTACTGTAGAGTACATGGACTCGGAATTATTGTCTCGAATTTACACGCAGGCAGAAAGGTTGGCACGAATTGGCACGGCGGCGCATCAGCAACAAAAAAATAAAATAAAAAAATAAAAATATAGGGGAATCAGACCCCCAAAAAAGAAAACAATACATTTAAGCCCCGCAATCCATCAGAAAGTAGGTGCTAATTGTAAATTAAGTGCAGGGGCGTTTGATTGCATTCGTTTTCTTTCTGCCGGCGGGCGTGAACGCGCACAGCCGGAACAAGACGTAACAAATGACTCCTAATGCCGCCACGTTGATTGCCCCGGGAGGAAATTGGGGCCCCGGCAGAATAAACTCGCGTTTTCCCCCCAAACAAAAGCTACGACACCTGGATTTTACCCAACATTCATGGCTACAATGATGATGATGATGATGATGATGATGATGATCGTGGCGGTGGTGGCAGTGGTACGGCGATGAGTGCTCATCATTGTTTTACCCGCGCCTCCCCCGCTGCGCACTTTCCAGCAAGATTCGCAAATAAGAAGCAGAAGCAGCTCCAGCAGGAGCAACTTTTGCCCCCGCCGCGGGGTCATTAATATATGAAAAGGCAAAGTCAACGGAATCCCTGCGCGAAAAAGGTTGCAAAATAAATAAATTCACTCGGGGGGAAGAAAGAAATGAAGAAAAGAAACGGATGGGATGTGATGTAGTGGAGGGAAGGAAGGAAGAAGACTCGGTCGTAAACGAAGACGCAGGCCTTGATTAACTGCAATCGAATCTTGAAGGTAATAAATACGAACGGAAGGCGCAATCGTAGACTCATTTTCACACGTTCTCCAATCACTGACTGACTGGCTGCTTTTGAAGGCGCGAAACAAGCGTGATTTTCCATTTTATTGCTGGGTGAATAAAAGATTTTTTACTTCCCCTCGCCGAGTTTGCTTTTTCCCAGCAATAAACCGATCTGGACTCGGTTGGGTGTGACCATTATTGCCTGCAAANATTTTTTTTTTTTTCCTTTTATATACGTTTGCCTTCCCGTCTTGCTGCTGCTGCTGGTGATACCTGCCTCTCATCGTTCATCGTCGGACAAAAAGGCGAGAATAAGATTCGATCTCTTGTTTCGTCTATACGTATGGGCTGCCAATTCATCGACAAACATCACGGAAATGATGCACCTTAACTGAAGAACATTTAGCAACGTCTATACTCTTTGCCAAAACAACAGAGAGCAACCAGTATACTGTATAGGGATTCCGGCAGAATAAAAAGAACCTGCTGGCCATCAATGACCGCATTCCAATCCCTGCTTGAAGGAATGTATAACTTTATACGCGAAGAAAGACGAGATTTAAAAAATAATAATACATATGTGCTGTGCGATTTTCTGGACATGACTCTTGTTACAATTCGCTCTTTTGTTTCTCCCATCGAATGAATGACGGGGTTAAAAAATAAAAGTGATGTTCTCATCCGTTATTCGCTGCATAATACAGCATCCGGATAAATCGGAAGAGAAAATGAATAATTGCAGTGCCGCCGAAGCATAAAATTGGGAAACGCAACTCACTCTGGTTGGTGCTCGCAGGCTTCAAGCTCGACAAGGGATCCCCGGGTTTCGAGGGTCTGCTCGGGGCAAACGGGTTCGACAGAGAACCAGATAGGGCAGGCAGAGAGCAACCCGCGCTGGAACCCAGGGCCTCGGAGAAGGGGAAGGGCCGGTGGCCGAAGGCCAAGGCTCGCATCTGCTGTTGTTGCCCTGTGAAACCAAACCGAAGACCCATAGCGGAAACATATGAGACGTGCTGTGCAATTGCATCATTTCCAAATTTGCGATTATTCCTTATTCTTCTTTTTAAATTTTATTTTTTATTTTATTTTATTTTTTGTGTGAATACGAGCAAGAATTGATTTTCGTGCCAAAAAATGTTTCACGAGTTTCTGCGGCAGCCCAGATCCCTTTCAAATAACAGTTTTCTTTCAATGCCAATGCGTTTATGGTCGTTTAAAGCTTTAAGCCATCATTCGAATCGCGCCATAACCTTCAAATTTGCCACGCAGATTAGCGCACTGCATTAAAGGAGGTATAAAAACGCCAACTCGATTCGTTGACCAAAATTATAACACTGTATACCGATATAGAGTACAGATACACTGTATATATGTACAGTATTTATGTTGGTCACATTTTCGCAATTTCTGGGTGCATAAATAAGGTGCATTACCTTTAGGCTAGCCAAGATTTAGAAATTATTTTCTGTGTCTTATTTGCCCCCTTTTCACCACGTCATAAAAATTTATAACGGTTTTCTGGTCATGATGAAATCTTACTCGATCAGTTTTTCGCTCATCTCGAAAGATTGATACAAACGTCAGAAAAAAAAGCAGACGATCGAGAAAAGCCTTCAACACTTGCTAAATTTTTTTGTTTTTAAATGTAATGCTTATCCGCAAAGTCACATTCAAATGGTCTTCATTTTCGAAACTGAGTTTTGGGTTCTCTATATTCGGAGTAACCAATTTAAAAAACGTGTTCTCGTTTTTTCCTCGACACCTCTCTCTATTTTATTTTCATTTCTGTTTCGGTGGCAGCAAAAAAAAAAGAAGGATGAAAGACAATCAGGAAGCGCTCAGATTACTCATGAATTCCCGATTAGTGCGTGATGATGAGTTTCGTGTCACACCGTGATGGCGTCGCTGTGTGGGCCACGACGTCGGTGACCTGTCAACCAGGTCGACACGCGAACCCCACATGAAACCCCCCCCCCCTGCTTCCCCTCAACACTCATACGTATATATATACACACGATACCCCTGTTTTCAACCCCACACTGGCTTCTTCCCAATCCGACGCACGCCACTTTCTTCCATTGCCAATGCCTTCGCCAAAAAAAAAAAAAAAAAAAAAAACCCCGGCGAAAAAATACAGACCGATTGAGAAAGAAAAGCGTTTTCCTTGGCTCTACTTTGCGTCGAACACGCGACAGATTTCCCAGTCGGTTCCAGCACGTCTTTTTCTTCCGGTCCAAAATTAATAATTTCTCAGCATATGTTAAAAGTTTTTGTTGAACAATGAGCAAAGGAAAGAAAAAAACATTCTTCGTATTATTTTGCTGCACATGTGCGCGGAGAAATATTGAAAAAAAGAGAGAGACACGAAGTTTCCATCCAGTAGCCGAACTGGTGATCGCGTGACCGAACTGGGGTCAAAGGAATTGATTCTCTGCCCGGGGAAGCAGCCATTTTGCGGTCGGGTTGACCTTTTGGCTGCCCTCGGGGCAACCAAACCGGAAGCTAAGCGCAAGCACTTCTTTTTCCGCATGCTGCTGTCAATATGCCACTGCGTGGCGAACGGAAATTGAAAATACGGTTCTCAACCCGGGACTTTCGCCAGTTAGAGTCTGGTCCATTTGCAGTTTGAAATTCTGTAAATCTGTTTCAAAAATAATTCTTGGATCCAAACATAAACATGTCAATTTTAGCAAACCTGTGTATGCTAAATGATCAATATCTGGAGATTTTCGGTACTCGTCTTCCAGAATACTCAGAAAACCTTTGGAAATGCGACTTTGCGAAAAAGAGAAAAAAAATTGGCAAAGATCCCGACGTGATGCAACTGGATTCTTCGAAACTATTCGCTTTTCCTGCCGCATAAATATATTCCACCATGGCACTCAAACAAAGATAAAAAAAAAGCGCAGAAATTCAAAGTACGATAACATGATAACGGGTCTCCAATTTGTTTTTTTTTTTCTCTCACTAAACTCTGGAGTTATCAAAATGGAAATCATCGAGAAAAGCAGGGTTTCCAATGAGATTTCCGCGAACATTCTACGTATATTCGCGTCAAATGATTTGAGAAAGTGTACTTACTGGTTTTGCTGCGGGGTTCCCGGGGTCCATCAACAGTCACTTTCATGGCTTTCATGTAAGTACCGACCATAATTGGACTCGAGTTCACAATAATTGTGATATTGAAGCTCTTCCCTGAAATGAGAAAGAAATAGAAAGAAAAGCATTTAATTTTTTTTTTTCGAAGGAACATCTGGTTTGTCGTGCATTATAAAATTATATCCAAAAACGCAGTGCTGAAACGTACATGAGCTCCAGCCATCACACTCCATCAAAAAATTTCCAATTTCGATGCGCATTTTCATCAGTTTTCGAAAATTGAGCTTTCTGCAATACCTTCAGAGAATAGGTATTACGACAAAAATCTCCCATTTGGGGGTTTCTTTCGAAGCAAATTTATTCGAACTATGCCGATACCGTTCGTATACAGTATTTCTTTTTTTTTTTGCGCGCGGTTCTTTCAAATTCGGACGAGATCAGGCCGAGTCCCGACCTGATCTCAAAAGTCGACCTGAACACCAGTAGATCGCGAACTGAAATGAGCACGTTCATTTTTCAGTCGAGCACTGAAAAATTCCACTGTCGACAGTAAAAAGAAGAAGAAAAAAACTCGTAAAATGTGAGAGGGTAAGTTAAAGTTTCGGTTCCCCTGGAATAACCTGAGTTCCGGGAAAATCATCCATGATTTTCCTACAGCAATTATGTGCTTGCCTGCTTTTAGTTTTTTTTTGTTTTACAAAAATGGGGATGGTTGCACAATACCTGAGGTTGTATTTGATTACTTCAATGCCACTTTTTAAGTTTTCAGGTTATATCCAAGCTGGAACACAGAGACCTGACAGTCCCACATGGAGAAGTTTGATTTTCATATTTTCTGAACGTCTTATGGATTAATGCTGGCACGCAGTATAAAATTCCAGTGCGTCAGGTTCTTTTTTTGTGTGAATATGTTATGTAAACGGCGTGCCACTATTGAAAAAAAAATTGGAATATTAGTGACAATTTCCCAACTCTGACATAAAAGCCATGTGATGTGTATAGTTTGAATGTATAAACGGCGTTGAACTCAATCCTGGGGAGTGGGGGGAATAACAGCAGGGAAGATATACAGTACAGTACAGTGAATAAGTGCAGAACAGTATACAATACAGTACATAAGAAAGAAGACGAGTCAAGCTCGGTTAAGCTAGTGTGTCGGGCAGCGGGCGGATATTCCTGGCGTCGCTTCGGGTTTTAGCGGGAGATTTGGCCCCTAATGACCGGGTGGAAATTCAATTTGCATGCTCAAAGGTGCGAAATCCCTCGGGTGCTCAACGAACCGGCGGCGTGACTTTGTCGCCCGCAAAGCGTTGCTAAACTCCGGCGCCCCGTGGAAACCGTTTCGTTTCGGCGCCGCGGCGTCTCGTCTCAATTCCCACCTGCCAAAGGAATGAAAAGCCGCAAAATCCCGACCTGCTTACACGGTCAGCCACTTCATGCATGCATGCATGCTGCTGCTCAAATGTCGTTTCATCTTTCGCATAGATTTCGTAAACATATTAAGGGGGCCGGGAGGGGAAATGAAAACTTATTTTCTTGGTCGACGAAACCGTTTCCGGATTGTAATTGGAAAAGACAATTATTGTATTAGTGACTCCTGTCTTCATATCCGCGAAATAAGTAAAGTGTCGGTGCAACAACTTCATTCACATCATCATCTGATTCGATCACCGTATAAAAATTAACTTGGAATACAATATTTGCTCCTATGAACGAAGTAATACGGCGGAATTTGCTTAGGATGAGTTCAACTGTTTTTCGCATCAAATTTTCACAAAAAGCGTGGCACATTTCATCGCCCGAATGAATCAGAGAAGGGCAACTTCAAGTTTGATGCTGATGGAGAAATCAAAAGCAAATTCAATCTAATAATTCCCAAGACACCCGTCGCCTGGGAAATCGTCTGAATATATTTCCCGAGAGTGCAAAACTGATCACACCACTGCTGGCTTACGATTTACATTCCGGTATTTTATAAAGAAAGGAAAAAACCTGCTTTAAAAACTTGCTCAAGCCAGGCTTTTCTCGAAATCTTTCGCTTTTGCTTCGACAAAATATTCATCCCTGAAATATTTGTGGCTTGTTTGATACATGCAATCTACATTCACACTCCAGCCAAGATTTCGTGCCAAAAAACCAATCGCGCCCAAAAACAAGAAGAATCGCGCGAAAACCTGACTATGGGGAGGGGTTGCTGTTTTGAGACGGAAAAATGGCGGCGGGTCGGCGCGGTGGTGCATTTTTTCTCACAGGAAAAAACCTTTGGGCTGCGAGAAAAGGACTCTGCACGCAACAGCTATACGCGACGTCGCCATCGCTGCGATGTGCGTGTCGCACGGCGTGTGAAACAAGGACGGCACAATTATATCCACCCGCCGTCTTGCTTCACTCTTTTTCTCTCTCAACCCCGAAAGAAATAATGAATAAAATCTAAATTTGAAACACAAGCATGAAAGAAGAAGAAGAAGAAGAAGAATAGTGGTGTTTCGCCTATGTTTTCCGAGCAGCCAAGCAAGGTCGGGCCGTGTGCGAGAGAGAATAAGGAAGGGCTCTCTGGTTAATTGGATTGAATTATTCGATCAGGTGGGGACTCTGATGCATGGGCGGCTCACGCACCCTGTCGCCGGGACGACGTGTTTTTCTTTTCCTTTTATTTTTCGTTTGGCACTGACTCTGACTGATGGATGGGATTCTGCTGTGACCGACCGACCGGGACACTACTTCTCTGAAGCCGATTTTCACTTGCCTACTTTGCCTGCCAAAAAAGAAATAAAAATAAAAACCTCAACCAGCAGCAGCAGCCAGCGTTTGCGTAAGGTTCCACTGGCTTGTATATATGCAAGGGCATGTTTGGAAATCATGCACGAAATACCATCGCAATTGGATACACACCCCGCGGGGGGTACTTTATAATGAAGGATATATACTGTACATACTTTTTCTTCGCCGGGAAAATTCTTGAGCCCAATAAAAGGTGCCTGATTGTTAGCCTATGAGGTGCATGAAGGATTGCTCGAAAACAAATTTCCATTTATCTGGTTTTATTTTGCGATGCTGCAACAATTTTGCAATTTCACCCCAAAGTCTTCATTGTCTGCCTCTTTCGACTGCTACACATCGAAAGTGAGTTCATTTTTCAAAGAAATTCCAGACACCTTTAAAAAAGAAAATCGCCGGGCGCAATAATTTTAATTCAAATACAGTATGTTTAAAGCAACTTAGCATCAATTGAAATTCTGCCTTGTCCATGAGTAACTTTTCTACAATTTTGGAAGGCTTTTTCAACTGAAACACTCTGAGGGCAAAGGTTCAACAAACAAATGATAAAATGCTCCATTCCCCCCTCTTTTTTAAAACCGCATGAGCTATTTGGTTTCAGCGCGGGATCGTAGAAATCGCCAATTTTCCCTAACAATGTCGCCGAGGATTTAAACTCCTGAAGACTTTTCACAAATATTGTATAATACCTTTAGAAAAGACTTCCCCTGACGATTCAAATAAGAAAAGGACAAAGAAGCAAAATTCTAAACTAACACAGGAAATGGGCCTGAACTTTTCTACTCCCGTATGCTGTATGTCACCACGACGAATATATTTTGAAATTCTGCATTTGAGGAATTATCCTCGCACATTAATGACTCTGATTCAAAATGCCTCGACGTACGTGTGCTGAGACTTCAAGCCACTTCAGTTTCTTTTTCAACTCGGGGAACCAGGAAATGTTTCTCTGCCATGAAAATGAACCACACATGATTTCCCTGTCGTAGAACATTCATTCCGCCGAAACGTTGAATTCCCCCGGATTTGCGTCAATAATCGACCCTATTCAGACACACACACACACACACACAAAATGGTGGTTATTTCTGATGCATATAAAGGGAAACTAGCAAGGGCTTCTCGATCTACCTGTCGCCCTGCTGTAGAGCAGGAACAAAACGAGCAAAGCAGCCTTTTTTTCCCCTGCTTACAGTCAGCCTGTGGGGGGAAAAAAAGGAAGTCGGGTTGCTGGGTTGGGTTGTTGCTGGTCTGATAAGGGCAAGCAAGCTTGTCAGCGAAACCGCAAAACACGCACGGAGTTCCTCTCTTGTGTTCCTGCTGCTGCTGGCACCGGCTTGTCGACATGCAATGCGATTGTCGCCTTATACACTCTATATACTCGTACATGTATAAACGAGCCCATGTGAACTCGTTCGTGTTTCGAGGCTCCCTGCGATTCCAACCAGGGTTCTGATCCCACGTTGAACACAGTATCTCGGGTATTTTATTTTATTTATTTATTTACAAAGACCTTCCCTCTCTTCTTTCTTTTTTCTTCAAAGAAAGACGAATCCATCGCATGGCATTCCCACGGAAAAATTAACCGATTTTTTAAAGATTCCCGATCAGCCGGAAACAGGAAAATCGGGGAAAATATTCAACTTGTCCTGTAGTGCATGAGAGTAAATTGGCAGTTCAATAGGGGGTTTCCTGTGGTGAATTCTAAATTCTGCGATTCCAAGAACTGAATGCAAAACAAAACGTAAACATTTTTATTATTAACACGTTTTTATTAACTCGCTTTCTTGTCCATTTGTTTGTCTGGATACAATTTTGCAACTCAAATTTTGCTCACTTCCCGACTAGCTAGCAAGCTGCAACTTTCAGGATAGCTTAGAAACTGATGACTAACCACGTTTTCAAAAAGCAAAAAATAACCTTGAACGTGGTGCGCATGGAGATTGTTGGGAAGAAGTGAAATACAAATGAAATAGATGCACACCACATTTAAGGTTATTTTGCATATTCTCAAAACTTGACGTTATGGAAGCGTTTAAAATATGTAACAACGGCCGCAGAAGAAGAATATAAAGTGCAGAACTGTTTTCGCCAGTTGAAAAAAATATTTTTTTTTTCGCACTCCCGTTGCGAGTTTGATGGAACATATTTTCAGCGGATTCTGTAATGCATTCGACGCAAGGAAAAATTATTATCCTCTCCGCCAAAAAAAAAAGGTTTTCGTCATCCGACGAAGCGCTCGGTTGAAGAGTAATTTTTTCTTATTCGAAAAAAAGAAACAAGTACTGACCTCGTCCACTTCGGCCGACGAATCTGAGATCGTTGAACTTGGCGACGTTGTTTTTGAACACAGCCGTGGCGTTGCGGACCTCGGAACAGGGGTTCTCGTCATTTCCGGCCTTGAGTGACACCAGGGTTCCGTCGGGTACGTCGCTCAGGCAAATCACTTTGAAGGCTACCGGTAATGTCTTATTTGATCTGAAAAAAGTGAACAAATTTTAGCGATCAACGAGAGGGAAATAAGAAAAACGCGGATTCATTTACATTTTTCGGATTTATGCTCGAGTTAGTTTTCTGTAAGGCGTATTATTGGAATTAACATGCGGCTCATACCAGGGAACTTTATACGGTACAATTTTTAAAAACTGATTTCTCAAAAAAAAAGTTCAGACACAAACGTTATTGTCATTCTCAATACTGTACAACACTGGAAATTAAAGGATATTTCTGTTTCTCCTTGCAATAAACATTGCTAAACTTTGGAGAAACTTCGTCAGTATAAGTATGGTAACTCACTGAAACCATTGTTGAATCAGCTGAATTCTAATTGAAGGTTATGATTGAGCAGAATGGCAACAAATCACGCAAAATTACTATTGTAGAATTAATCTGTGTGAATTGAAATGCTATCAAGATTGGAAACATTTTCATGTATTCTTGATCACGACATTGAACAGTTTCAAAAAATTGGCGTAATGTTTCAAAATAATAACGTGAAATTCCTAAAATTTCAATTTAAAATAAGTCTGGGATCTGGTGAGTGCAAATTAACTGGGCGCGACGGAAAAAGTACCGTAAGCGACGTTGGGCTGCATGGAACTATTCAGTATTTTTTATTTTTATTTAATTTTTTTGTTGAAATATTTTTAATAGCATTCCCGTCGGATCAACGACACCTCAAACCTACAAGCAATTTTATTTTCTGAATTTTAAACCATGTCAATCCTTCACGTAAAAATTAGTTGTATACTTGTCAGTTTTGAATTCTTGCTTTCGTTTTATGAAAGTATCCTAAATGATGATAAATATTCGAAAACCTGCTTCCACACACACATACAAAAACACAACCTTGGGAAATTGACAGATGCCTGATGAAATTTAAATAAAATTCCTTCCTTCTTTCTACGAAAACGTCCTGCATCATACAAGGTGCCCCCAGTTCAGCATGGGATTCAATATTTCTATCCTACTGTGTAAAAATGTGAAAAATTTCAACATTTCATTAGATGGGAGAAAAATGGTGTTCTAAACAACGGCACAATACGTAAAATTTCGTGGACGCATTTTCAGCAAATCACTGTACAATTTGTGGAAAACTGTGGCCATGATTTGAAGTTTACAGCTTATTTTCATCATGCAGCGTACACTGAAAACCAAGATTTAAAATCTAAAAAATGCCAGATTCCGAAGACCGTATGAGGGATCACGTTTTAGATGTTCTCCAATTTTTTTGTTTTTTACCGAGGTTCAAAATATTCAATTCCGTGCGGAACTGGGACAACCCCTGTAATCAAAGGCAGAGATGCTCGGTTGAAATGCGGGGAGTTATTGAGCAGCAGTCCCACCCTCCTATACTTCAGTATATAAATCAATTTCCGCTGATCGAGACAAAGATTTATTCATGTTTTTACGACCAGCCAGCAGGTATAGGATAGGTGGAGACATATATGTGGATCGGTGATTCAATTTCGAGTCATGCAAGTTAATACAGTACAGTGCAGTGTCAGTATAATGAACTTTGCCGTATACTGTACTGTACTATGTACCTCCAGTGCGACGGAAGTGCAGAGCAGAGGATGTTGGGGCATCCGGTCCGCACCAGTTCCCCGGGGTGTTCCTGGAGCAACTCGGTGACCTGCCTCTCCGCAGCGTAGTACTCGCTGTAGTTGTAACCCCCAGCACCACCACCACCACCAGTGCCACTACCGCCACCGCTGCCGCCATCGCCGCCCGAAGAGGCGCCCGGCTGCAAGTCCGTGGCCGAGCTGGCTTCGGAAGCGGACTCGGCAGAGTCCACGATGACCGCGGCGGTGGCGGCGGCTGCGGCGGCGGCGGCGGCCACCACCTTGTCGACACCGACACCCACGCCGAGGGGCGGCGACGAGGCGGGCTTGAGGTCCGTCGGACTCGTCGGCGTGGCCGTGTAGTAGGAGGAGAACATGGCCGCGGCCTCGTGATGGTGGGCGCCCAATTGCCCGCTCTCAGCCAGGATATGCATTGGAGGCGGGCACGTTGACGTCACCATTCGCGCCACCACGTCACCGACGACGATGACGCGTCAAACAATGGACGGATTTATTGCAATGCAACGGGAACGGGGTTTCTTTTTTTTTTTTGCTTTAATTTTCGACGATTAATTCTCTATTTGTATTGTTTCGGTGCGTTATCCGGAACAGAACTCATCAGCACCAGCACGCCGATTTCATCTGATGGTTCATCAGCACTTGTGTCTCCTTCGTCTCTGTCGCGACTGACTGCAATTCCCGAGGACTGCGAAATCAATGGATCATCTCCTTTTCTTTTCTTCTTTTCATCGCCGAACGGGTCACGCGAAGAAATCTTTGAAATGCACACACATTTTGAGTTGAAAATCGGTAGCCGAAGGTTCTGTGCGAAAAGGGAACGACGAGCCATAGCGGTGATGCTTATTAGTGAATCTTTCTCGGAACGCGCATATTTCAGTCTTGGGATGATCATTTCTTCTTCAGGTCATCGAGCATCTAACATCTTTTCTTCGTATTCTGAATTGCTGGCATGAAATGCGACTTTGAAACATAACGTAATTTTAAGATATGAAGTCGATAATGTTTCGGACGTTGTGTGCGAATGAATTCTGAGCTTTGATTTATTCCTGCTTATTCAATAATTCTTTTGTATTCATTGCCAAGAAGCAATGTCAGCAAACCAAATTCATTGTTTGTGAATTTTGCCCAGAAGTCTTGCAATCTCTACCTGATTAATCCGATTATTTTAGAATGGAAATTAATTGAAGCAGTGGCCTAAAGCAACTGAGGAAGCCGAAAAAGTAGTCCAAAAATATTGAATTTAATTCTTCAATAAGTAGAGCTCCTCTGTTGTTTTTTTTCTTTCTTTTCCAGTCAAGTCATACTGCATGGTGAAAGGCAAAAAAAGGGAGACCTCAAGATATGGATGGGATTGGAGCATCACAAGTGTCCTGATATGTCCCTATGTTGAGTCTCATTTTCTCTTGTATTGCATTAAATACTTTTTAATTTGTGCTTTGCCAAATGAACATTCATTGGAATTCCGCGAAAAAAGAAATATTTTTTCTGCCAATGATGATTGGCATGATTCATGATTTATGATACATGATTCATACATACATGACATACATACATACATACATGATTCCACTCGATTTATGGGTTATTTTGCATGAGCCTGTCAATAATGATTCACATATGAGTATGATCAGCAAAAAAAATGATTCTCATCTTGAAAAGGACAATGAACCCATTTTACAAGAATTCACAGCTTCTGTTCGGAAAAATCCTAATTTTGAAAAACGAAACATCGCATGAAATTAGCTACAAGGGAAAAATACCTAGGTAAATTATTGCTGGAGGTATTTTCCGGCATTAGCAAAAAGGATCTAAAAATGAAGGCAATGCCAAAGAATTTCTCTTATATAAGCCTTTCATTACTATGGGTTGGAAATATTGGGTTCTTGTCATTCCTCCTGATAAATGTTATATTTTATCTGAAAGTTTTGCATGCACCGTCCACATCTTGAATCAGTGTCCACACGTCAGGTTTTTTTCTTTAAAAATAAATGTTTCCTTGTTGAGTCTTCTTCATGTCAATTAGTGGGGTTCCACTGTATTTTAGATGATTGTAAATCAATCCATTCATTGGATGCATGTTTAGTGTTCATGTCCACTGCTGCCCTTTTTTGAAAGAAAATTCATTTCTGGAAAGAATTGAACATGTCTTTCATCCCTCGTCATTGAGTTTGAATTTACCCGAAAAACCGATAAAAATGTAAATTTCTTTCCAAGAACAAATGCTTGGATAAGAGACCATCGTCTGCTTCAATTTTGACATTGCGAATGCTCGTAAAATATCGTTTTCTTCCACTGATCCAAGTCCGAATTGTCAAAACTGTCTCATAGAAATCTCAGCTCACTGTAAGGTTTCCAGAAACACTCGTTTTCATTATCCACCAAGATTCAGATGACTGGAAGTATAATCTCACATTCGTTGGGAACTCAAAATGGTTGGGAGGAAATCATATGAAAATGCTCCCTGAATTGTACGCGCAATCCGCCCATGAGGAACTAATGCACAAATAAATTACTCGCTCGAACGCACAGAAGCTTCACGTATGAATACACTAATCACCATAAAAAAAAATCGACATGGTACCCTTACAATTTAAATCGAATCTAGGAAGGGTTCCACAAAACTGGCGTTCATACAGAAACAAGTAAAATAATAAAATAGAGAAGCTATAACTCGCGAGCATCTCCATTTCAATCATTTGAACTGAGTGATAATTCACCAGGGAAATGACTCAATTTCCACAGGCTCCACCGCAGGGTTTCCGAGAAATTACGACTGGAGAGAAACGAAATGGTGTGGAACAAATGGATAACCACTCGAAAAATGCGCAAGCGAAAAAAAAAGGTTCACTCAGTCTCGAACGCGAGGAAAACGGCAACATGCCACGGTCAGACCCGCGTGCCGACTAAAGGCGCGGGGCGCCAAGCCAGTTGGCAATGCTGCGGCCGGCGGCAGGTGGGCGGGTGCTGGGATGGTCCGGAAAAATAAAGGGGGCGGGGCTTGCGAGAAAAGACGGCACCTGCCTCCTCTTCTCTCCCTCTCTGCGGTCAGCCCCCTTCGCCAGGGCTGTGGTCCCTCCTACCCACAACCACTGACGTGCTCCTGCTGGGCAACCCCGCGGTACCACACAAATGTGACAAATCATTCCGTCCCTCGGGACCTGGGTTTCAGGGTTCTAGTTGCACCGGGTATGGCTGCGTGTATATACAACTGCTTGAGAGAAAAATGTTGGAAATTCCTCGGGTTTTTTTTTCTTCTTGCCGTTGCTTGAATGCTGACGCAGCGAAGAAGCGAAGCAATGATAGTCATGTGCTTCTCCTCTTCCAAGTTTTCTTCGATGGATGCAGTTTGTACAGAGATCAGCCAATGACGTTCGCTCAACCGAATTAAATTCGCAAGGAAACAAAGACACATTTGAACGGAATAGATTTTTTAACCGCAAAAATTAATTAGTATTATACATTAATAATATCGTTCAAAGCCATATGCACAACTAATTTTTTTCTTGCTGCCAGAACGCAATCTTAAGTTTTTCTCGCATTTTCAGTATGGGAAATCCAAATTTTCCTCAAACTTCCTTTTAAAAAGTTTTAGGGAAATGCAGAATGGCAGCAAGCCTCTGAATTTGCATGCTTTATGTATAGCCGTATAGTTTATCGTCAATCATAACTATTCAATTATACCTGAAAATATACGCCATTATAGATTTTATTGCTAACTGCATATATATAGGTTCCCGATAATGAGCAACAAAAAAGCCATTCGCTTCGATTTCTGAGCTTTTCATCAAGCTGATGGTTGAGAAAATATTTTTAAAAAAAAGAGGTCAACGAATTTTTCGAATGCGCAACCATACAGGGCAGACATTTCCCTCATTTGAAACAGGTGGAAAAAATTAGGCCCGATTTGCTTAACCGCCTTGAAATCCGCGGCCAAGTTTTGGTCAAGACTTTTTTAACAAGGTTCCCAGCCAGTGACTCCAAACTACCGGCAAACTAGAGCTTCGGATTCACCCATGGAAATGTCGGTTCGATTCCGAGCCAGTGGCATGGAATCAAATCCCCAGCACGACGTCATTCTTTTTCTTTTTCGCAAGTGAATCGAGAAAGAAAGGGAGAAAGAGAGAGAGAGAGACTGAAGAAAGATACGAGGCAAATAGTGACAGATTTTTTTTTCTTCTTTAAATAACCCAACATGAAATGAGACAGTGAGAAAGAGGCAGGATGAGGCACACATACGATACAGACGATGAAGAGACTGTTGCAGCAGCAGTGTCATTTGAGACTGCTGGCACGAAACCAATCTATGTGTTTAGGGGAATTTCTGGCTCTGTGGCAAAGCACCGGCATGGAACTATATCCAGTTCCGCTGGAGCAATTGTCTGCAGCATGGAGTCCACAATCAGCGGCCAGTATAGGCCGTCTTCACGACTTGCCAGTTCCACTCAGGCACGGCATTAGGGAAACCAACTGTGCGTATAAAAGAGACCCCCATTATATATATATATATCCTTATATTCCCCAGACAAACATTATTTTATGCCGCGAGGAGGGGGAGGGGGGGCTTATAATCTTCTTCCATTTAGGATATATTGAAGTAAGAAACTGCTTTTTCTTAACCGAGTGTTCAAAACAGTGAATAAAGAACAATAACACAAAGTAGCCTTATAACCTCTATAACAGGTTTCTACGACGGTAGAATAATTTTCTTAGCATATACTGTATACAGCAGAGGGGATAAATGATCATTGCTTCAAAGGATTTTTTTTTGAAGTTTCATATCATACCAGTGACGTGTTGAGAGCAGATATTGTGAGACAATTATTGATGATTAACTCTCGGACTTATTTGGCCTTCCAATGATTTCAAGTGTTCATGTGCACAGTATAATGAGGCTGCGAATGATGCAGATCTAATTACTTATCAGTATGTGTCCACCAGATGTTGGAAGATCTGCATGTTGTATCACATTTGCCAATTGACTTGAATAATGCGAATAGCTTTCATTACTTCTCATGATTATTGTCTACGAATAGACAAAAGTTCTCAGAAAAATTACGAATACTTTTTTTTTATATTTAAAGCTCAGAGTTGAGAGAAGTTGATGGAAGATACGAATACTTTTTTATATTTAAAGCTCAAAATCAAGAGAAGTTGATAGAAGATAATAATCTCATAGAATCTTCAGTTATGCATGAAAGTTTTCCAACGAAAAAGGCTCACAATCAAACTCGCATTATTGTTATACTAAAATTGACATAGTTGAAGAAAAAAAACATGCATGCAAAGACCGGCACAAAATTTGCCAGTTTTGAAAAAGAAAGAACTGCAATGTGTAAGGTTTTCCCAATTTTTTGTCCAATGGCAGTAGCTAAATTTTTACGACAGATTTGACCAACATCATACATTTTTCTGGAAATTTTGGCACTGTTCTTATCTTGAG